CTTTAAAATAAATGTCAGACATTTATAATTTTTCATTTTGGGTTTGTTTAATATTCATGTAATTTAATATTTAAAAATTAATAATTTTTAATGTGTACTATATGTAGCTTATGGCAGTTCATCTGTAACCACAACCGTTTGTATAAATATGCATTCACTTCATTGTTTCCCCTTCAATTATATGTATCATACTATTGGGTGAACAATCTTTCTATCATGCATCTTTACTAAGTTTGTGTGTCACACAATGTTAAGTGATTAATAAAGTTGTATAGAGAACGCATGACGCAGCAACGTTCGCTGACGTCACAATGCGGAAGTGGGCGAATACTATGGAGTGGATGCGGCTATGTTTTGCCGCCAAAAACAGGTATTTAAACAATTTTCTACCTTGCTTGAGAGAACACAGGGGCCGTCGAAGGGACAGTTAAGTCCCGAGCGCGCAGCCCGTCCCTAGACTGGATTGCCTGCATTAGTTCATTGCCGTTCGTTCAGACTACATACCCACTGGGAGCTGCTTCTGACCACACACCAACTGGGAGCTGATGGAGTGACTGTCCGTTTGTTACAACTATTATTACCTTCACCTTCGTTTAGATCATCATCTGATTACAACTTTGATTTGGTACACCAAGAAAAAGATTTCTACAATTGGTGAGATCTATCCAGATATAGCTATATACAGTGCACTATATTGGACTACCAGGACTTTCAGATTATTTTGCTTGATTTTTCATTTTTTCTTTTTTCCTCTTTTCCATCCCTTATTTTCTTTTTATTTCCCCTTTCCTTTTTTCTGTTTTGGATTGGGGATTTTTTCATTATTTTCATTATTTTTTTTTTTTTTCATTTTCTTATCTGTTTCATTTTTTCATATTTTTCATTTTTTCAGTATTTTCAACATTTTTTCAATGAATTTTCACCAAGTGTATACACATTAGATGAACTCTATCCAATATATGGAATATTCTGTATATACTGTATATATTGTATATATTCAATGTATAAAATTGGTGTACTCAGGATGAAATGAACATTTCTATTATCATACTCTATATAACTTTATTTAGAATAAATATCATGAATTTTTCACAGTAATAACTTCTAGTATCAATTATTACTATTTGAGTGCGGTATTCATTATATAGTTTTTAGGATTGTTGTTTGGAGGTTGTCTTTGGGGTTAACCTCGAATACCGGCACCTATATGTAATTGAGTGCCAGCACACGTTGTAAATTTTTTTTAAACTGACACTAGATGGCATCCTTTCTCTTGATATTTTATGTGATCATTAATCAGAACATGTGAGTTACATGAGTTCTATAACAGCTTTAAGAATACTGTTGAAAGATATGCACTTTCCACAGAATTTAAGACTTTATCTTGATTGATAGGCAATATTTCCAAAATTAAATAGACCACTGTTAGTAACTAAAATTAGTGCCATTAGTCATCCATTCCTATGTACGATATTTTCCAAATACAGCATTGTTTAATATAAAAAACTACAAATTTTTCATATTTTTTTCTAGTAAAAAGTAATAATGCATTGTCATTCTCTGAAATTGTTACTAAAATAAGCTGTACCTTACTGGTTCACTTAAAGGACCACTCTAGGCACCCAGACCACTTCAGCTTAATGAAGTGGTCTGGGTGCCAGGTCCAGCTAGGGTTAACCCATTTTTTTCATAAACATAGCAGATTCAGAGAAACTGCTATGTTTATAAATGGGTTAATCCAGCCTCTAAAGCCTCTAGTGGCTGTCTCATTGACAGCCGCTAGAGGCGCTTGCGTGCTTCTCCCTGTGATTTTCACAGTGAGTGCACGCCAGCGTCCATAGGAAAGCATTCTGAATGCTTTCCTATGTGACCGGCTGAATGCGTGCGCAGCTCTTGCCACGCGTGCGCATTCAGCCGACGGGCAGGAGAAGAGGAGGATCGGAGGAGGAGAGCTCTCCGCCCAGCGCTGGAAAAAGGTAAGTTTTTACCCCTTTCCCCTTTCCAGAGCCGAGCGGGAGGGGGTCCCTGAGGGTGGGGGCACACTCAGGGCACTATAGTGCCAGGAAAACAAGTATGTTTTCCTGGCACTATAGTGGTCCTTTAAAATGTGTCCATAGATGATTGATAGCTTAGAAAAGAGTAGAAATAATAAGTAGTTTAATAGTTAACATCATTGTGCTCTTTATTGCAAAAGTTATTTATTAATTATTACACTCTAACTGAGCTTCAAAACAAATTAAGGAAAAATATTCAAATTGAATCTGAAATTGTAATTTGGGTATTTAGAAAAGGCAGCTAAGTTGCGCAAATAGGCTTTAGCCTCAAATATACAAACTTCATCTACTTTGTCCTGACTTAAATTACTCTGAATATTGTTTCTGCTTCTTTATATTAAATTGTATATTTTAAGTCAGAAATAAGGCAATAATCATTTAATGTTATTAAAGGGGAAATTTTATGACTAAATACGGGACTGATTCAATCCATATAATTCATTATTGCAAATAAACATATTTGTTAAAGAACATCTCATTCGTTAGCTGCAGATATACAGAATGATACCACACTCAAAAAGAGACTGTCTGAAAATGTATGCAAATTTGTTTTTTAATTTTTTATTTCTATGCTATACGGTTGGAAAAAAAGTGCAAGTGTTTAATGTCTTGTCTTATGAGACAGCATCAATAAGTGATAGACTTAAATATTTGTGCAAATACTATTTAACCTCTACCTTCATAAAGTGAATACATGTGCAAAAAACAAACAAAAAACTGAAAAATAATGTCACAGAATATAAATACAAAGGGAGGTTAATACCCTCTGATCAAACCTTATAGATTCCTAGCATTAGTATGGCAATTTATACTAATGTGTAAATAATGTCCCAAGGGATTTTTTATGATTCAAAATAGTAATAATAGTGTCCTCCTACTTATTAAATTGGTACCTCAGGTCTGCTATCCGCAATTGTTCACCGCTCCATCTAGTCATCATATCCTCTCTAGGTTTCTATCATCATCTTTTACTTATACCTCGGTGGGGGCTCACACCAAGGAAAGGTACTTTCTGTATACATTTATAGGTTTGTTTTTCATTTTTAGTTACATTGTAGGCATTTGGACCCTTAGATACTTTGTTTTATACATTGTGTCCATGGTGGCTTCATCTGCCTACTTTTGTATCTATATTTGTACGGCTGTATTTGCATTTCTTAGGATCACTTCCTGTCAACCAGCATTAGATTAGTGTGGTCATGATTTTATTTTCGATTTATATTATCTACATATATATATATGTCTTATTTTAATAAATATAAATAAATGTATATTTGCATTTCATAGCTTTTCCTTATTTTATTATATAGATGAGCGCACATACTTTTTTGATCTATGAGCTTACACTCAGTTATAGTCGCTTGTGGATGTATGTAGCTGCCCATATTTTTATTTAATTTATGTTATGTATTGCACCTTTTTCCATCAACCTAAAAAAAAATAAGAATGTAAAGTCCCAATATCAGTTTAACAGATATCCATCAGTAACACCATGGTTGGACCTCACCAGAGTATGTGTTGGTCTCAAGTGCTAACTTGGCTTGTTCATCCCCACAGTTGATTCTGGCATTCTGAAGGCTTGTCATATAGATCTCTGCCAGGTACCTGCCATCCAAGGCTGCACACTCGGGAACGTTATAAGGCAGTCTCCCGTTTCTGTCCTATAGACATTACCATGTAGACATTGTTAACACTTATCACATTCATTTTGCATTATATATTCACAATGCTCCTACAACAGATTATTTAAATACAGTTTAGCTCATTTAGCACTAGCACTATTTATTTGTCTCCCACGTTTAAATTATTGTATGATCAACAGATATTGGGGTACTATGAAGTAGTGGTAGGCTTAGCACATGGAATCTCCACATTTGTTTGCGGAGATTGTTTTGCTGCATGATTTTACATAGCCTTATAAATTGTAAAATTTTATTTTTATGTGTGCACTGTTTCTTAATATGTATATTGTTAACAGTGGGACTGACATCGTATTTGCATTCCAATCTGGAGAGCATGCTTTTTGCCATTGCCAAACACTGACACCACTTTATGCCCATTCCTGGCCGCCATAGATATGTCACTTCCAGTACTCTCATGTGTTCCAAGGTGGAATGCATGACTTACAAGTCTAGTCCCCATTTAGAAGTTGAAAGGACTGCAAATCTTGGTGATCCACTTACCCCTAAGCATTACCATTAGACAAAATGTGTTGACACTGTGTTGCTATTTATTTTATTCTGTTTTATTTGGTTTATTCTATTGATTTATTTATTTTACCTATTTACACCCTATATCGGGTGGAAAAATATCATCTATTACAGTGAAGTATGTACCACATCAGTGGTGATGTGATTGTTGTTCATTCCTTTCTATTTTGCTGTTTTTGTATTTGTTTTTTTCATTGTATTTTGAGTGTCATTAGTGACCATACTTTCCAGTAAGTGAGTCTTGATTTTAGGTGTACACTGATAGTTATTTAGTTTTATATTAATCATAGAAAGTGTCTATGATTAAGTCTCTAAACATAGACAAAACATGGATGATATGATGAATGTTATGCTGTTTTGAGGTCCAGTAAAGGCCGCTTGCTGAGGCCCTCTTGTAACCCATCGGTCTCAGGTTTCGTCTGCAATTTTTTTAAATCTTTGGATGTATTCTGGACCAGTTAAGCTTCAATGATTCTGGAATACTATGAATCGGTATTATGTACTATTGTATGATTTTAATATTCTTTCTGTAATGCTAAAACGTCTTATCATCTGATATGTAACTGAAGAATATTGTCAATAGAAAACAAAAATGAACTTAAGTTTGAGATAATTTACTTGCAAGTGATTCAAAATTACATTACATATTTCCTGCATGAATTTGTCAACACCCCCTCCCCAAATGCCCTGCCTCTTGTACCCAAGTTCTGACTGCAGTAGATCACTCTGCAGTAGGTTCCGAGGCTGCCACAATAAACATGCACTGTACAATGCTTCTTGGTGTTCTTCTCCCAACAGTTTGTATATGTAAGTAATGTCATCATTCAGGTTTGAATGAATGGAGTATGTTCAAATACTGCAATTAATATTTGGTTCACCTGTCTCATTTTCTGATTCACATAGTTCTTTTTTTCCACACTATAGTTCTGTGATAATAACAACTGGACATGATCAGACTTTCCTTGTTACCAGTGTAAAATAATCAGTGTTTTCTAACAATTATATTATTTACCATTTCATGTATGCGTGACAGTGTTCTGATGTTCTGTTTATCTTGCAGATTTGGTCTATGGGCAGAAAGTCACCCAGTCATCCTCTGAACTGACAGTGGATGAAGGCAGAGAGGCTGAGTTATCCTGTAGTACTGACATAGCAGCTACCTATATGGCTTGGTACATACAGAAGCCTGGACAAACACTGCATTATCTCATTCAGGGTTTAACAAAAGCAGAAGATATGACTGGAGACTTCAAGGGTCGCCTCACACACAACTATGACAGAACTAAAAAGCAGTTTCCAATTACTCTCTCTAAACTGAGAATCTCTGACTCTGGAACATATTACTGTGCTATGGAACCTCACATTGAGTACAGAGCATTAGGAGTTTGTACAATATCATCAATGTCACCAACGTGAAACTTTAAACCACTAGATGGCGCCATTTCCACTGCTGCATTATGTGATGCTTTGATCAGAAACATAGAAACATAGAATGTGACGGCAGATAAGAACCATTCGGCCCATCTAGTCTGCCCAATTTTCTAAAAACTTTCATTAGTCCCTAGCCTTATCTTATAGTTAGGATAGCCTTATGCCTATCCCATGCATGCTTAAACTCCTTTACTGTGTTAACCTCTACCACTTCAGCTGGAGGGCTATTCCATGCATCCACTACCCTCTCAGTAAAGTAATACTTCCTGATATTATTTTTAAACCTTTGTCCCTCTAATTTAAGACTATGTCCTCTTGTTGTGGTAGTTTTCTTCTTTTAAATATAGTCTCCTCCTTTACTGTGTTGATTCCCTTTATGTATTTAAATGTTTCTATCATATCCCCCCTGTCCCGTCTTTCCTCCAAGCTATACATGTTAAGATCCTTTAACCTTTCCTGGTAAGTTTTATCCCATAATCCATGAACCTGTTTAGTAGCCCTTCTCTGAACCCTCTCTAAGGTATCAATATCCTTCTGAAGATACGGTCTCCAGTACTGTGTACAATACTCCAAGTGAGGTCTCACCAGTGTTCTGTCCAATGGCATGAGCACTTCCCTCTTTCTACTGCTAATACCTCTCCCTATACATCCAAGCATTCTGCTAGCATTCCTGCTGCTCTATTACATTGTCTGCCTACCTTTAAGTCATCAGAAATAATCACCCCTAAATCCTTTTCCTCATAGGTTGAGGTTAGGACTCTATCAAATATTCTGTACTCTGCCCTTGGGTTTTTACGTCCAAGATGCATTATCTTGCACTTATCCACATTAAATGTCAGTTGCCACAATTCTGACCATTTTCTAGTTTACCTAAATCATTTGTCATTTGGCTTATCCCTCCTGGAACATCAACCCTGTTACATATCTTAGTATCATCAGCAAAAAGACATACCTTACCATCAAGACCTTCTGCAATATCACTAATAAAAATATTAAACAGAATGGGTCCAAGTATAGATCCCTGAGGTACCCCACTGGTGACAAGTCCAAGCTTCGAATATACTCCATTAACTACAACCCTCTGTTGCCTGTCACTCAGCCACTGCCTTACCCATTCAACAATATTGGAATCCAAACTTAAAGATTGCAGTTTATTGATAAGCCTTCTATGTGCAACAGTGTCAAAGCCTTACTGAAATCTAGGTAAGCAATGTCTACTGCACCACCCTGATCTATAGTTTTAGTTACCCAATCAAAAAAATCAATAAGATTAGTTTGGCATGATCTCCCTGAAGTAAACCCATGTCTCTGATCTTGAAATCCATGTGTTTTTAGATGTTCATCAATCCTATCTTTTAACATGGTTTCCATCACTTTCCCCACTACTGAAGTAAGGCTTACTGGCCTATAGTTGCCGACTCCTCCCTATTACCTTTCTTGTAAATGGGCACAACATTCGCTAACTTCCAATCTTCTGGGACTACTCCTGTTAACAATGATTGGTTAAATAAATCTATTAATGGTTTTGCTAGTACACCACTAAGCTCTTTTAATAGCTTTGGGTGTATTCCATCAGGTCCCATTGACTTATTTGTCTTTACTTTTGACAGTTGAAATAGAACCTCTTCCTCTGTAAACTCACGTGTAATAAATGACTCATTTATCCTTTTTCTCAACTGAGGTCCCTTTCCTTCATTTTCTTCTGTAAATACAGAACAAAAATATTCATTCAGGATAGTTACATGAATACACACCTTACTTATTGCAGCAACAGCTGTAAGAATACTAAAGTACTAAGTAAACTAAACTAAACATTATGACTGTCAATTATCTATTTCTATATGCTATATTTTCCAAAATGACATGCACTATCAATTAATAATGACTTAATGTACTTTATAAAATATTTCCATTAATTAAATTTATTTATAAAATATTTTACCAGGAAAGATACATTGAGATTTCTCTCGTTTTCAAGTATACCAAGACAAGGTATAAGTATTTTATATAATTTATTTAAAAATACTAAAATGCTCATAAAACCCTTTAATGACACTAGGATGTGTCATTACATCCTAGCTTTAATGAGCTTTAAAGCATTTAGGGCATAATGGTACATCCTGCATATTTAATGTGAGCAGGCTTAAATCTCTTCTCACGCCAGGGAGCCCTAGGTATAAATGGATAGCTAGGGCTTCCTTCTGTCTGCTTGGGCAATTTGTAGTGGCCCCAGACTTTTAGATGAGTTGATAGCAGCGCTGGGAGCCAGTGCTACAAGCAGCCTTTTAAATAGGCATCTGTGGATACTTGGGGCTCCTGTTAGTCAACTGTGGCCCAGAGTGTTCAAGGAGCTCTGTGCAGCACTGGAATCAGCAATGCATACAGCCCTTTAACTCCATTGATAAAATCATTCTCTGAAAAGCAATGCTAAAACTGCAGGGACATGCTATAGACAACAGAAACAAATTTGATCTGAAAGACAATTAACACCTCGGTTTTCAACTACAAAGTGCTCTTCAAATGTACCTTGATCACAATGTTGTTAATTAAAAAATGTAATTCATCTGTATGCATCTAGAAACTAGAATTTTCGATATCACCATAATGCGGAACCATTTGGTTTTACTTTTAAAGGCATTCAAAAGGTGAATCACGACTGGAGAGGGGAAGATTTTATTAAGAGGATTGGCTAACCCAAGATGAGATGGATTTTTTAATAAAATACTTTAATCCTGTACGGACTTAATAATGATTTTGAAATCTACCACTTTTTATAATATACTTTTTTATAAATTGTTATATATGTATATATATATATATATATATATATATATGTATATATATATATATATATATTCTCTTTCTCTCTCTCTCTCTCTCTCTCTCTCTCTCTCTATATATATATATATATATTTAATATTTTCTGTATATTTTTATATTTGGCATAGATTCATTTATATTTAGCTAGATTCCTTCCATCTCCTCTTAGAATGCTGGCCCATGCCCATTATACCTAATTGCCTTTAGTGTAAACTATTCGTTATAGATATTTTTTATATTTTTATAGTTATTAGTATTCAATACCTCTATATTGTCAGTTTCTCTGGATTGCACGTATGCATCTTTTTCTTTTTCTTCGTCTCCTTATCTTAGTAGGAATTTTGGAGTGTAACATATTCAAAATGTGTATATATGTTTGTCTATCAAATTGTTAAATGTTTGTTTCAATTGGTTATATATTGCATATTTATGGGACTTTATTTATACATGGACATACAAGGGGTTGAATACTTCTGTGTAACATTGACTATTTGGATCTTGGACATTAGGAGTTAATATGTAAATTTGGGACCTGTAGAAGAACCAATCAGACCTCATGTAGACGTTACTGTTTTGCCCTTAAATACCATGATTAAAGATGGTGTGTATTACAAATCACGTCCTGACGAAGTCGTAGGCAAAACACGCAGGGGTGCGGAGTGATGCCAGATGGTGGGCGTAGACAAGGAAGTCCACTGCATATTTGATTGCTAATAGGATCATTCTGGAGATGGAGCTGTACGGCGGGAGACCTGTTGGTCGAGACTGCATTAACATCTCCCAACATACTGACAAAGCTTTCGTGAGTAGCGGCGGATGTGCTGCACATACTCGCTTATTTTTTATCTACTAAGGGGCAGTCATTCTTATTCCCCAGTCTTGTGCTAAATGTATATTCTGTGTTTTGGTTTTTAATTATTTGTTAATAAATCTTGATCAATTTTACATAATAAACATTTCTTTGATCTCAATACTACTACTTAATTTTATGAGAGTGATAGGAGTGAGAATCCTCATATTAATCACATTATTTTATATGGTATATTTTCAATATATATTTTAAAGGATTACACTATTACCTGTTTGTTTTTTTTTTTATGTATATGAATTTCTTCAACTTGGACTAAGAATATCAACGTAAGTATACACTTTCCCCCCATTTTTTAGTAACCCTTTTGAATGCCTTTTAGCACTCTTATCTTCTCTCTCTCTCTCTATCTATCTATCTATCTATCTATCTATATATTTGCATCTTGAAAAGATGTTTGCTAATTAGTGTCCAGAGATAAAGTGTGGCTATGTAGTATAGCAGTGCAAGGGTAATGTAATGTAAGGGAGAGAAGATGAAGAGGTAGTGAGGGGGGATGAGGAAAATGAAGTGTGAGGACAAGACAAGGGACTGGGATGTGTTTGTGGCAACAGTGAGAATGTTGGAGTGAGTGGGTCTTTGAGTGCTTGCGAGTAAATGGTGAAGATCACAAAGAGAGACACAAACACAAGGACAAATGTTGTGTGTATAATAATGTATATATGTATTTATTAAAAGTAAAAAAAAGTGTGTGTGTGTGTGTGTGTATGTGTATATATATATATATATATATAACAAAAAATATGTACAAGGAGCACTCACAGGTCTTCATCAAACTTCTGATTTATTCGTTAGTGCATATCACCACGTTTGTTCTATCTGTTTTTAGCACAGCCGGCCACACACACATTTAGTTTGACACGGTGCTTAGCAACGCCGTCTATCCAACATCACGTTGCTTACGTGATTCCTCTGTTGCACTTCCGGGTTTCGGATGGCGGGCGGCTTTCTCTCTCACACACCTGTTGGTAAGTTATCAACATTATTATTATGTATATATACCCACTTTGTATACTGCACTATTGATCTTGAAGAAGACCTTGTAAGGGTCGAAACATCGATCATCTAAACCTGCACATGTAACTTGCACTAACGAATAAATCAGAAGTTTGATGAAGACCTGGGAGTGCTCCTTGTACATATTTTTTGTTATATACTAAACGCTGAGGACTGCACCTAGGCAAGGATAGATTTCTTGAATATTAAAGGGTGAGTGCCAAGGTTCTCTGTTTTTTATACTTGTATGGTAGTGCGTTTTACCATCTTGAGCACCCCCAATCAATATGTGATTTTTTGATATATCTACTAAACGGAGTGTTTAGTGGGAAAGCTTCAAGACTTTTTTTCTATGGAGGATTTTCTATCCAGAGCAGGGGCTCTGGTGGATACTGCAGAAACACTGACCATAACATATGTTCAAGCACAAGCGGTACTTTGGCCCCGTACAGCAAATGAACTATCGCATACTAATACTGTTAAAGACCTATACAATGATCTGATGAAGCTCAAAAGACGTGAGGTGGATTTAGATCTACATGGCATCTTTATCTCAGACTATTACAGAGCCAAAAGGATACCAAGGGGCTTCAGGGTAAGAAATGCACCAACTATAGGGAGACAGAACCCAGACTTTTGCAAGAAGTGGATGAATATTGCAAATAAGTGTTCTTTAGACTGGATGGTAATATTGGTTCAAGGAGTTGGAAAAGAATTGATTGGAGTTAAAAATGCTATCCAAGAGTTTGAAATTACTAACACACTAGCCCTACAATCAGCAGCAGCTACCACACAAATGTTAAAGCTACAGGATGATATCAATAAATATAAGAATGAACTTATTAGGTTCAAAAAGCAGAAGCTAACAAAGGTTAATCACGATTACCAATATCATCCGGTGTATAGATGGCTCAGTGGTACACAATCCTCATACAGGGATTCAACATCTAGATTTAAATACCGTATTAAAAAACCCATGTTTCAAACAATTGATGTTAGCTCTGGTGAATCAGCCTCTGATGTCGATACCAGAGAGAGAGCAGATCACGTACAGGTCAGACACCTTTTTTAGAAGGGGACCCTTTTTCACAAGACTCCCCTAGGACGTCCCGAATGGACACCAGAGGCATAAGAAGAATGCAATCCCACGGAGAGGACAAAAGGGAAGACAGAAACACAAGCTCAAGGGGCAGACCACCTCTAAGGAAGAAGTAACTAATATCTTCAATCTTTCCCAAAAAATATTAACAACTGACCACTATTCAGTTCTATCCAAAGGTTTAACCTTTGTACCTGTGGCCAAACCCGATCCATTTAAGATGGAGATTGAGCTATATAAATTACAACATACTTTAAACAACAAAGAACATCGTAAGGAGGATAAACCAGTAATCCACAAGCATCCATTTAAAGTTAAATATACAAGTGAGATCAAAACAACAAATAACACGATTAAGACATTTATGCAAACACTTAAGAAAGACATGGAGCAGATTACTAGAAAACCAATGGATCATAGGCAAAATTTAACGAAAAATGAATGGGCAGCACTTAAAGATTTAAAACAAGACTCCAATATCATTATTCGACCTGCCGACAAAGGGGGAGCCATTGTCATCATGTCTTATCAACAGTATAAACTAGAAATTATGCGGCAATTATCGGATACTTCAACTTACCAACGATTAACATTTGATCCGGTTAGTAAATTTCAAACGTTAATAAAGGAACATATTACGATGGGGGTACAAATGGGATACCTAGATGCTTCTATGTCTAACTTTTTGTTTGTTAAATACCCGATTCACCCAGTACTATATACTATTCCTAAAATTCATAAGGATATCAATCAGCCCCCAGGCAGACCCATTGTATCGGCTAGAGGAAGTCTATTGGAACCCATCACTAAGTATGTGGATTTTTACATCAAGGAGACTGTTAAGAAACTACCCACGTGTATTCGTGATACTCAAGATGTCTTGAATAGAATTGGAACAATTTCCTTGAAGGATCACAATATAATATTGGCTACGTTGGACGTCCAAAGTTTATATACCATCATACCCCATATGGAAGGCATAGAAGCTCTTAAGGAAATACTTCAATCTTCTGACCATTATGAGGGACCTCCAATCGAGTATCTCTTGGAATTTTTGCGTATTGCACTCACATGCAATTATTTCAAGTTTGAAGAATTATTCTATTTACAGTTGTCTGGCACAGCGATGGGGGCGGCCATGACACCCTCATACGCGAATGCATATATGTTTCAATTTGAGAGTCAATATATTTTAAATCAAGTACCTAATAACATCATGACATACTATCGTTTTGTTGACGATGTGTTTATCTTATGGAAGGGTTCATCGAGTGAATTGGAGGATATGGTATCTAATATTAATAAACTCCCATTACCAGTTAAATTTACATTGGCATATAATGAGAAAGAAATATCCTTTCTGGATGTAACTGTATATAAGGATGGCGATAAATTGGGATATACACTTCATCGGAAGAAAACGGACAGAAACACTTTACTTTCAGCCACTAGTTACCATCCTCAGAAGCTCAAGGATTCGCTACCTATGTCTCAATATATGCGTGTACTACGTTACAACACTGACCCCAAAAATAGACAAAGTCAATTAGTAGAGATGACACACAGATTCCAAGAGAGAGGTTACAATTTAAAGATCCTTGAAGCAGCTAAAACTCGAGCGATCAAGAAATGGACATAGGAGACCAATGGAATACAACAGAAATCTACCAAGGACACATTGAATATATATTTACCACTTGCGTACCATACAAGGTCTACACAAATCCGTAAAGCTATTGATAGACACTGGGATATATTAGGCTCAGACAAGTATTTACCTTCAATATTCCGCAAAAATCCAATTATCAGCTACAAGAGGAACAGAAATTTAAGAGATATCTTAGTCCGCAGTGATCCTACACAGTGCTACAAGAAAAATACAACGCATAAGAAACTCGGATGTTACAGATGCAGTGGCTGTGTCACTTGCAGTCATATGACTTCTGGTAACTCTTTTGTTCACCCTCATAGTGGGAAAATAATTATTATTCCCCATTATATCACGTGCACAACGGACCATGTAATCTACCTTATAACATGTCCATGCGGACTATCCTATGTAGGGAAGACGGATCTAACTTTAAGGGATCGTATTCGAGGACATAGATCTGGTATCATGACGGCTTTCAGGGATCAAAAAACAGATAAGCCAGTGGCTAAACATTTTTTAGCAGCCTCTCACAGTTTTCCTACGCTTAAATTTGTGGCCATTGATCATGTCCCTCCGTTATCTCGTGGAGGTGACAGATCTAAACTTCTGCTCAAAAGAGAAGAGTATTGGATCTTCAAATTGGACACAGTCACGCCTAAAGGCCTTAATGAGTACAATACGTACTCTATGTTTTTGTAAAATCTATATATTATACAGGCATGATGTTTTTTGTTCAATAGGGTTTCCTGCATAAAAGTGTTAGCTATTCCTTATATATGAGGATTGCAATATATAATTAGTATGCATTCTTCACTAGCTTTGTAGCCCTGTCAAGTGCACTGGATAGGTGGAGCTATAATACATATTTGAAATTGACATGAAGAAGCAGGTATAATTATAATAGAGGCAATTTGCTGTCACAGTTCTTTACATTACTTTATTGCTCATTGGTATACCCTCTATAAGGACGTAGATGAACAGTCCTTCATTCTACAGTATTTTAAGAGGAACTGTTTAATGCAGGTACTGTGCCTTTAAGGTGGACACAGCGCCTGTTATCGCCATGGTTATTAATAGCATGGCTCATATTTAATATGTAACTATATGAATTAAGGGGGACAAATACCGATATTATGTGCTGAGTATAGACTATTACAGAGTATTCTGCGATTTATTATGTAAAAAGATGTATTGTTTATGATACTCATTGGGGTATGGAATTGTAACCTGTATGTGGTATACATTCACACTCATTTGGTGTGTATGTACACATGATATGTTTTTCACCATAATATAGATACTATTAGACAGATCCTTTGTAATAGACCCTTTGTAGGTGGGCACATTTGGATATCTTCACTGGTTTTATGTTAAATTGGTTTTCACTCATATTGCACATCTATTTTGCACATCCATAATGGCTCTCTTTTACATGGGCGACTATCATAGGACTGGTAGGTTGTTCACATAAGTATCCTCCTTAGAATATGTTTCTTTATATGTATAGATCCCTGTACTGGGTGATCACTAATATCACCACGTTTGTTCTATCTGTTTTTAGCACAGCCGGCCACACACACATTTAGTTTGACACGGTGCTTAGCAACGCCGTCTATCCAACATCACGTTGCTTACGTGATTCCTCTGTTGCACTTCCGGGTTTCGGATGGCGGGCGGCTTTCTCTCTCACACACCTGTTGGTAAGTTATCAACATTATTATTATGTATATATACCCACTTTGTATACTGCACTATTGATCTTGAAGAAGACCTTGTAAGGGTCGAAACATCGATCATCTAAACCTGCACATGTAACTTGCACTAACGAATAAATCAGAAGTTTGATGAAGACCTTTGAGTGCTCCTTGTACATTATTTTTGTTATATACTAAACGCTGAGGACTGCACCCAGGCAAGGATAGATTTCTTGAATATTAAAGGGTGAGTGCCAAGGTTCTCTGTTTTATATATATATATATATATATATATATATATATATATATATATATATGTGTGTGTGTGTGTGTGTGTGTGTGTGTGTGTGTGTGTGTGTATATATATATATATATATATATATATATATATATATATATATATAGAGATAAAAGAGACAGTCTTTAAATATTAAATACTTTTTCTTCAGGTCTTCCTCAAGATCTTGAGGAAGACCTGAAGAGGTCGAAACGTCGATCAGATGTATGTTACCTGTTATTAAATAATATCGAGTTTTTTTACAAAGACCTGAGAGTGCATCTCTTTCCTTTTTGCTTTACATATCCAGTGTGGGATTGCACCAAGGCAGTCTTTTACTGATTCATTGAAAGGGTGAGTGCCACTATACTTGTGTGTGTGTGTGTGTGTGTATATATATATATATATATATATATATATATATGAACCACTACGCTCACAGGTAACTTTTACCTTTTCAGTGCCTTGAAATTGGGCAGGGCACTTTTTGGGTGATTTTAAAACGATGGCAACATTTATTAGGTCATTTTCATTACTTCAATTCCAGGATACCATAGCATCAGTGCGCATTCTGATTACATCTGTTGCTAATTAAGAAAAACATTTCTGATTACATCTGTTGCTAATAAAGAAAAACACAAGCAGAATGAAAATTGCACACAGATTCCAGAAGTGGATATTTAACATGACTGCATGTAACAGCAACAGCAAAGGTTTAAAAATAAAATCAGGAAGTATTACTTTACTGAGAGGGTAGTGGATGCATCGAATAGCCTTCCAGCTGAAGTGGTAGAGGTTAACACAGTAAAGGAGTTTAAGCATGCGTGGGATATGCATAAGGCTATCCTAACTATAAGATAAGGCCAGGGACTAATGAAAGTATTTAGAAAATTGGGAAGACTAGATGGGCCGAATGGTTCTTATCTGCCGGCATATTCTATGTTTCTATGTAACAGTAGGCCTCCTTAATGCTGGGTTTGCAACTATAGTTTATCAGGCCTTACCTTTATGCCATATATCCTAATGAAAGTATTTAGAAAATTGGGCAGACTAGATGGGCCAAATGGTTCTTATCCGCCGTCACAGTCTATGTTTCTAGTATATTTATGTCCACGTTGTTGGGAACACTGGCTAAGTCTTTCATGTACTACAACTCCATGCTGCTGATGCTGTTCTTTCCCTATCAAGTAGTAGAACCGTCCAGACTGAGTCCATGGTGACTAATTACATACCTGCTAGTGCCCATATTATAGTGCACTGATGTTGCTTATAGGTGACAGGTGTTTCATTAACATATATCATCATGATGATGATGACGACTATTATTTTTATTATTAATATTATTATTATTATCCACAAGAGCATAGCAATATGTATGTTTCTTCAGTGTAGAAGTGTAGAAATAGAAACTTCAGGTACTACGATTGACTAATTGTGCTATGAATTTTGATTTGCTACAATGTAGTTACATTACTTATTTGTGGTTTCATTTGTTTGACAGGTTAACAAGGAATTATAAAAGCTATAATAATGTTGCTTGCATGTCATCAAGTTCAGGTAGGTGCTTGTGATGTTTATTCGGCCCATGCCTAGGCACTAAATAATTTGACGTACTGGTTAATTGTTAAAACGCATTTTCAGTGACATTCAATCACTTGTAGATGTTGAATTTCAAATAATCTTTCATAATTCCCTGCTTTATTTTATTAAATTTGATTAAACTATTTCACCTTATAAAACATAACAATCTAATAAAGAACACTGTGCTAATACAATAATCATGTTTCAGAGAAATTAAACTGGAAACTGTACATTGCAAATTTGACAAGAATGCCACAGGTTAAAGCAAGTATGGAAGCTGTGTTTATCTGAGATAATGAGTTAGTAAGGACTACTTACAAAAACGCACCATGGCCTATTTGTTTTATCATGCCCCTCCCATTTCCCCCCGCACTATACTGTTTCCTATGCATGCATTAAATTAAGTTCTGCTTTGTACACACACTTTGTAAATCATACTGCAACTGCACATCAGAGACAGGAGAGCAGGAGAGCATGAACATCATGGCCCATGTTTCCCTGTTGCTCTCTGTAATATTTATATGTAAGTAATTTCAATTTTCCTCCGTTACTGAAAACGAAACAATAAGCAATACAATTTTTTCCTTTTGATACTAGCACACTATGACGACTTTAAGGGTCTACTCCATATTAACTGTGAATAGTTTGTTATTGTGGAAATATGGTATGGGTAATCCTAGAAAAGGGGGTTGAAAGGTGGCAACATAAACTGTATGGTACACTGATTGTTCTAAGATTTTACAATAATATAGTTTGCTTTTTAGTCAGCAATATCATAATCATATCAGATTCTATATAAACCTTACATTGTGCGTCTATGAGGCTTATCTTCTTTTTGATGTTTTTTTTCATTCAGATTGCACTTCAGGGGAAGAAGTCACCCAGACACCCAGTGAAGTATCAATTAATGAAGGGAGCGAGACCGTGTTATCTTGCAGCTATGATGTAGCTGCTTATTCCATGTTTTGGTACGTACAGAAACCTGGGAGTGCACCTCAACTTCTCCTTACTGACATAACAAATGTGGAGGACCTCAATAAGGAAATTAAAGGACGTTTCTTCCACAAACATGACAAGACAAACAAACAATTCCCCCTGAATGTTACTAAAGCAAGACACTCTGACTCTGGGACATATTACTGCGTGCTGAGGCCCACACTGTACTCAGAGAATAAAAAGGTTGTACAATAACATCACTGTACTGACAGAGATGTTAATCCACTAGATGGCAGCGCTACTTGCCAAGAATAATCAAAGGATGCCATTTAAACAAGGGTAATGTCTGTTTATTCATAAAAAAAAAAAGTATATTTAAATTACATATGGAATTCCATAAATCAGATGTTTGTCTAGTTTTTTTATTTATTAATGTACAATAAATATTATGATTTTAAACCTGATATTTTGTACCTTTAATAAAAAAGTTATAACACAAGCCTGTCAGAATGCAATCACAGGCAATCACAACTGTTTGAAAATCACAACAGGGGTGGTAACATGGGATTATTGCCCACTGGACCACTATCATAAAGGAGTGTTTGGATGAATCCTGATAGCACAATTCTTCTTATGATTAAAAGCTGCAGACAGTGGATTGGGATGTCTGTTGCCAGAGTACTGCAGTATAAAGGCAGCAGGAAGAAATTCTGTAACCCTTGCTAATCCTGCAGAGAATGGGTCTGTGCGTGGGATGTTGACCAACATTTTCTGGCCCACTGGAAAATCTTTGAGGAGACTGCACTTGTTGGGGCTGTCCAGGCTGCCAGACTATGAATAAGTATGGTGTGTAGGTGCTTGTAACTAATTGCCGGTTGAAATGAGATAGCACTCAAGACATTCATCACATACACAAGTCATCATTGCTACTAATGAAGCCACAGGAACCAAAGTTTGTATCTCTGTAAATTCTCCTTATGCAGTGCAGGTCATACTTATGGACTTTTCAACTCCAGAAGCCACACCTAGATATTACACGTGCAGTGCCCTATAATGCCCTATAATCTGACTCCAAGCTGAAAGTTTGGAGCCCATTATACAATGGGCTCCTATTAAACAGGTGAGCAAATCACATATCTTTTGGGGTATTCACCCACCTGGTTAAAACTGACTGCACCCATATTTCTTCTTTCTGTTTCCTATATATAGCAACTGTGAAGAAAAATGTTCTGCTATTCTGATCTTCAAAGAGGGTTAAAGGACCACTATAGGCACCCAGACCACTTCAGCTTAAAAGGGACACTATAGTCACCTGAACAACTTCAACTTAATGAGGTTGTTCAGGTGAGGACTATAACTCTGTGCAGCCTTTCTCATGTAAACACTGTATTTTCTGAGACCTCCGGTTACAGTCACTCAGAGTGATCCAGTGATCCATAATATGCCTCCATCCACTCAGATCTGCTGTGCACGAGCATCCTGTGATTCAGTATCTCCTCCCACTGCATGCAGACACTGAACGTTCCTCATAGAGATTCGTTGATTCAATTAATCTCTATGAGGAGATGCTGATTGGCCAGGGCTGTGTTTGAATCATGCTGGCTCTGCCCCTGATCTGCCTCCTTGTCAGTCTCAGCCAATCCTATGGGGAAGCACTGTGATTGGATCAGGCTATCACATGTCAGCAGACTGCTTGTTTTTCCTGAGTCTAACAGCATGCAGATTTACAGCTTCTGGCTTGAATACAGTAAGATTTCTACTATATTTATGGAGGCATGAGGGGCCCAGGGGGGCAAGATGGTCGTGTTAACACTATAGGGTCAGGAATACATGTAGTTGCACTGGTGACTATAGTGTCCCTTTAACCCCTTAAGGACCAAACTTCTGGAATAAAAGGGAATTATGACATGTCACACATGTCATGTGTCCTTAAGGGGTTAATGAAGTGGTCTGGGTGCCAGGTCCATCTAGGATTAACCCTGCCTGCTGTAAGCATAGCAGTTTATGGGTTAATCAAGCCTCTAGTTGCTGTCTCATTGACAGCCGCTAGAGGCGCTTCCGCGCTTCTCACTGTGATTTTCACGTGAGAAGACGCCAGCATCCATAGGAAAGCATTGAGAATGCTTTCCTATGGACTAGCTGAATGCGCGCGCGGTTCTTGACGCTCATGTGCATTCACCACGATGACTACCGAAGGAGGAGGAGAGTCCCCAGCGCTGAGGGAGCCCGGCGCTGGAGAAAGGGGAGTGTTTAACCCCCTTCCTCCCCCTTCAGCCCAGCGGGAGTGGGACCCTGAGGGTGGGGGCACCCTCAGGGCACTATAGTGCCAGGAAAACGAGTTTGTTTTCCTGACACTATAGTGGTCCTTTAACCCCTAAAGGACCAAACTTCTGGAATAAAAGGGAATCATGACATGTCACACATGTCATGTGTCCTTAAGGGGTTAAAGTTGCCACCCACTTAAAAGATATGCAGAATAAATAACGGTTCAAGCACTCCGGGATAACAAAAAAATAGCAGTTTTATTGGTGCAAAAACAGCAACATTTGGACCCTACAGGGTCTTTATCAAGCTGATAAAGACCCTGTAGAGTCGAAACCTTGCTGTCACAGACAACACAGCCACACACAACAATAAAACCTACAGTATTAACCCCTTAAGACCGGAGGGCGTACTATTACGCCCTATTCTAAGCGGCTCTAAACGCCGCCGGGCGTAATAGTAGGCCCTCCGGTCTTTCGGTACTTACCCGGTCGCCGGCGATCCCACGCCGGCGATCGCGGTTCGGGGGACCCCCAGGGAGCCTCCCGCGGCACGTCCATCCTCCTGGAAGCCCTCCGACCATGTGAGAGTGGGGTTCTTGCGAGGACCCCACAATCACATGGCCGGGGGTAGCTGGCTGCAGCATTGCCAGCAGGGGGGCTGCCTGTAATGACAGGTGGTCCCCCTGCTGGCTGAAAATAAAATTAACTCAATTAAAAAGTGTAAAAAAAATAATAATATATACTTAGATCATATATATAAATTATATATATATATGATCTAAGTATATATATACACATATACATACACACACGTACACCGTGTAGGTGTATTTTACTATTTATATATATATATATATATATATATATATATATAATTATATATATATATTAATATCAAATTACACGAGACTGATACTGATTAAATATATATAATTATTGTTATATATATATATTTATATAATATAAAAAAAATAAAAATGTAAATACGTTAAAAAATAAAATTTAAAAAATAATTAAAAATAAATAATTAAAAAATATATAGATGTGTGTTATTTTCGTTCTAACTGAATTGTGAAATTAATATATATATATATATATATATATATATATATATTGTGATAAAGTGAAGGCAGATAGGCCTTTTAACCCCAGGGGAAGTATGTGTAGGATGTGTTGTAGGCAACACAAAACACTGTTTAGTTATGGGCCCCTGGGGTGGAGCATTTGGAGAGAAGAGTGGGCCAATGCTCCACTCCACAGTTTAGTGTTTTTCTGGGGAGACATAGATCCAGGCCAGGGTTTTTTGGACCGTCTCCAACCCACTGCTCAGGTGCAGTTAATGAGCTATTGCAGTGGTAATAAGCCCCTCCCTGCTAGGCAGGTAAAGGAGAGGGATTGCTGGCTTCCTCCTAGGAAGCAGGTAGGAGAGAGAGGCTGTTCTCTCCAGATAGTCAAGGAGACTAAGCACTGGGAGTGCAGAAAGGAAGCAGTCAGGGCAAGGCTGGCTTGGAGCACTGGGAGTGCAGAAAGGAAAGCAGTCAGGGCAAGGCTGGCTTGGAGCACTGGGAGTGCAGAAAGGAAAGCAGTCAAGGCAAGGCTGGCTTGGAGCACTGGGAGTGGAGAAAGGAAAGCAACAGGCTAGCTAACAGAGTGTTGCTATCTAGTAAGGTTGGTGCCATATGTTTTTGTTAGTTTAACCCTGATAGAGAGGGATATACAAAGTGAGTTAGTGCTCAGACGAGCTAGGTTTTTTGTTTATAGGGTTTTCTGTTACAGTTATGTTTTTCATTTAACTGCTGTATCCTGTGTGAACTTACAAATAAAGTGACTGGATTATATGCAAAGCAAAGGACTGTGCCTATTGTTTACCCTAGAGGACCGTGCTACCTGCTGACAAGGATCACAATATGGTGGAGAATGCGGGCACAGTAGCACAGTGAGGGTCTGTGGGTGTGCCAGTCATCTGGTAGTCTGCTTGAGGACTTTTTTTTTTGGCAGACCTGCTAATAAAATAAGTAGCACTGCACCTTTAAGACTGTTACCTGCTTGGTGCTATAATGGAGGACCTGCTGAAGGCTCTGGTACAGGCAACCACTGTACAACAAGAGGCAACTGCTATACAACAAAACACCAACCATTTCCTGGCTGCACAGATTAAGAACCTGAGGGATGCTCAGCAGGAGCACAGAGCTGCACTTACTGAGGTTTTGCAGATTGCCCCCTGCAGTGAGAGTGGGGACAAGGGACCTCATAACCAAGCTACTGACATCCTGCATAAGATGACAGAGGCAGTAGAAGAAGTCTTTCGCAAGCTGAAAAGCATGGAGGCAACAAAGCGTGATGTTGAGAAACACACAGAAGAGAGAGAACCGGAATTAAAAGGCAAGAAGGATAAAATTGATCCTGAAAGCAGTGATAATGTGGAAGATGGTGAAAAGGTAGTAATGAGACCAGCAAATCTAAAGGAAAACCCGGAATTGTCAAAAGGCAGTGATGGTGACAGTGATGACATGCGCCAAAGTAAGAGAGGTCAGAGGAATCAGAAGGGAGAACGAGACAAACTGATTACTGAAGTTGACAAGTGTTTATTTGAGAACCAAAATGTTGCAGCTTCACGTGAAAGCCTCAAACGTGCTCGGCGTGGCATCACCACAGATGAAGAGGACTTGGGAAAAGAGTCAGAAACAAAGATATTTTCACGCTCAGAAGCTGAATCTTACATGTTTCAAGAGAATGCTGGAAAGACATTAGAAAACAGAAAGGTGCTGATAAATCTTCCCGAGGCAACAAAAGGAGAAAAAAAGACTGTGGCTGAGGCCAGCAGTGTCCAGCCGGTTTGTGTAATAAAAAGTGAAGCAGAAGCCGCTGATGTTCACCCAAGTGAACAAGTCAAAGGCATGAAAAGCAGACTGACTTGGGGAGTCAGAGAAGACACCTGCAAAAGAGCTGAGCTTAATAGAGAGAAGCAAAGCACCCCAGCTGAGTATAGCAATGCCGTGCACTGTTTAGTAGCCGAGGCTACCCAAGATTGTCGACCAGCTGTTGAACAGTTTGGCAGAGAAAAGAAAGGCAAAGTAGCTGCTTCTGATCTAAGCCAAGAGAGAGCGACAGTTACAGAACCAAGCTGTGGTGATAAGAT